GGCCATTAATCTGATGAAGTCAGGGGTTTTTTGGTTGATTACAATCCTATTAGTGAAGTGTGTTATTTAAGCTTAGAGTTACTTTGCTTGCAACATTCATCATTTGAAGAGTTTCATTGCGAATCATCAGCCTTTTTTTTCCCATCTGAACTTGGGTTCAGTTGAAGGCTCTTTGGCTGTGTGTGTAACTCAGAGGTTGATTTTGCACCTGGCCAGACCAAGTTTTAACTTGCCTCGTGTCAAAACCAGTTAATGTGACATTTAACTCGGCATATGAGAATTTGCAATGTTCAGTCTTTTTCTCAGGGGAAAAACACAAGGTAGCATCAAAAACAAAAATCTGAATGTCCTTGGGATGAGATTAGTACTGGTTTAATCTAACTTTATAAAATAAAATACATCAATAGAAAAACCCAGAAATCTTTCCCCTCTAGGGAGGATTAAGAGGTAAGCACCTTTATTGGAGAAGCCTGAAGTATTATTAAATGGAGATCTGGCATAAAAATAACATGTCTAACAAAATTAAATGTAAAAACGGAAATAATCATTACACATCATATGTTCCAGTCTGCACAGTAGTGAAAAACAGCCCATCTGATGTATTACCAATGACGTCCAACTATTAGAATTTTCCTGGTAAGAAAATGCTACATGCAAAGGATACCAATTCTATAATGTTCTCAAAGAAAAGTGTTTCAAATCTGAAATGTATCCCAACAATTGGCAAAAGAAGTACAGTGTATAGTTGATCTATTTCTGTATTGACCATGTACATAAGTTTGACCTGTTCTGATTATACCCAAAGGATAAGACTGGCTATCAGTTTCAATTTCCTTCCACTTCCTTCCTCCATCCGTTACTATTTCTAAAGCCCCTGTCCACCAGCTGTCACGGCTGCATCCGCTCACGCTGAAAAACCAAGGATTTTAAAGCATGTTGTGTCTGTGCACGAGTAACTTTGTGTGCCACGTAAGCCTCCACATATTAATACAACGGGGTTTTTCAAAAGAAAAAAAACGCAAAATTATTTTTACCCCACAGATACAGCATGAAGAATAATGACGAGTGGAAATATTTTATGCATAACGTGTGATTTGGGACTGTTTAAAACTGATTTGAAAACAAGAGACCCGCTTCATGAAATCCATGTAGTTGAGCAGATGACACATAAACAGGTAAAAGACCCACCACACCAGCCGGGATTAAAAGCTCTGTTGAGTCACCGAGGGCAGCTGGGAAGTTGTGATGTTTCTTTAGCAAACCTGCCAAGAGTTGAACGGATAGGCTGAACTGAGAAGTGAGGATTAATGGAGGCTTAAGCCCCATGACCGCGGCACCAACACATGGGAAAAGCAGAAGGGAAGCTCCTCTGAATCCAGTATGACGTGGCATGGCACGAGCCTTCTGTGTTTATGCAGAAATATGCATTTTTTGTCACAGAATTTGATTAAAATCTAGCAAGATTTAAGCCAACATGAATTGAGTGTTCAATGCAGATGAGTGTTTTAAAACGTTTGTTTTTTTTCTATTTGAATTCAGCATCGTGTCAGCTCACTGCTGACAGGCTAAACAGTTGGCAATAATTAAGACAATAGCTCTTGCTGTCATGGAGCATCCTGGCTGTCAGAGCTGAGGAAGTTCTGGCAGACACAAATGAAACAGCATGAAGAGATGTAGGGTGAAAATGTGAGATGGGCTGTGTTACTTCAGAATTGAGAACAATGAAAAACCCTGTGATATGGTTTCCACAAATGACATAAGGAAGGAACCTTGAACAAAAGGATTTGGCAAAGTAACTTGGCTCAAAGGTGGGACCATTGTACACAGGGACAGAAAAAAAGAGCATAATAAACACGAGTGTGGGCTGTCCGTATAAGGAATTAGACCACTATGGAGCAAGACAAAGAGGAAGTACTTGTGGAAAAGAAGTTGTGTCTGTCAAAACAGATGGCAGCTGGTAAAGAAGATTATGTGTTAGTACTGCATGCAGAACCACTTCGGACTGACCAGCCCCCAAAACACAGACAAATACACACAAACCTCAGAGACCTCCCACTGTTTCCTTTCATCGCACTCCAACAGCCCTGGCAGCACTTGATCCCATGTCACATCCTAAAGTCTTTCCTTTTAGATGACAAAACTGCTGAGATCATGACAAGTCTAATTTGCTCTGTCACTCTGTCTCAAATGCAACTCTACTTCATCCCTATTAGTTTGGAGGCTGTGTTTCCATCTCTGTGGGAGTTGATAGCTGCTTCATTAAACAACTTGGACCCCTATTTTGTGGTCTTGGCACTGTTACCAATCCAAGTGGATATGAGCTGCTTATAAAAACGAAAACAAAAAAAACGTGCTCTCAGATATTGAAACAGCCTGTCAGAAGTCCCTATCTCATTAAATCATCTCAACTATTTGACAGCAAAAACATAATTTAAACCCAAATTACTGGTAATGTTTTTCTAAGCACAGAATGTGACGGGAATCTGGCAAATCTGTTATCAGAGTAATATTGTTCTTGCAAATAGGATTAATTGCTAAACCTATGGAAATTAATTCCAGCTGTCCTAAACTTGACTTTTCAAGCTACTGAATAAAACCACTTGCCAGAGAATCATTTGCTTTGTAGGTGAGGTTCAAATGATAAGTGCTGCTTACATCTTTAGGTAAAGTTTGACACTTTAGTTAATATCTGTCCTGACCTTTGGCTAAACTAAACAAACTTTAACTAAATTTTAACTGCCCTTATGCTAAGATAAGATAATCATCATGCTAACCCAATTTTAGCGTAAAGACTGTTTTCTTTGCAAGAAACAAAATGCCGTATGGTTGGAGCAGCTATATACTACCATCTCTGATTTATTGAACTTACAGTAAATGCATAGAAGTCTTTGCCTGAGGGCATCGTCCAAATAGCTGCCTGTTACCAAAAAAAAACTGGACTAGGAACCTCCTGATGACTGAATGTCGGCAATTCACTGTACACACAACATATGACGTGTTTATTACCAATATTACTGGGCAAATCAGCCTCATAAGAAACAAAAGACACACCAGACAGATTACTTTATCAGTTGGTTGGTTTATTTATCATTAGCAATGACACCAAATGTACTCTACTGTTTTCACCTGCTATTATAGGAGATGCATTTTGAATTGTAAACAGTGAAAATGATAAAATGCTTTTTTTTCAGAAAACTCCTTACAAGCAGTGTATGACCAGGCAAAAGAGCAGATTGTACCTACTCTTGCTCACCTATTCTTTAACAATACATGTCATCTTATAGCTTTGCGTCTTTCATATTTACATAGATACAGCCGGGTCCCACATTCATTACCAGCAGAGACCCATTGGCTTCTTGTGTTTTTATTAGTTTTTAATGTGTTGTCACATAGTTTTCTTAAAGAACTGTATTTACAACCATAACCGCCCCTGGCTGCCTGCTGCCAGGGTTTAACACAGAATCACTTGCTTAAAATTCATTAAACTACTTATGCTTATTGAGAGTTTACATTGTAAGTCAATCTTATAGCTCAAAGTAATTTTTCTCTTAACAAATAAATGTAATACAGATCTCTAGCTGTTCTTTCTTCCCCATTAAAAATTCAAAAGGATCCAAATAAATGAATAAACCAAACATGATAATAAAATAAAATAAGAAATTAAAAAAATATTGCACTTAAAGTTCAGGACAGCATTGGACCTGTTTGTTGGTTAAGAGTGAAGTGAGAGCTTTTAGCCGAGTGCTTTGGAGGACGTGAGCGTGTGTGTTTTGAAGCATCCAGCAAGTTTATCTAAATAAATAAGCTAAACTTTTTACACTTGAAGCATTTCTTTGTCCTCTGACTATGAAATGAGCAACCTGCCATGCATTGCCCGGCCGAGGGGAGTGCAGGTTTGAATCCTAGCAAACTGTGTGTAGAAAACCACACTACAGATGAGAAGATGAAGCGAGCTGTAACCTGTTATAGCAATGTCCTGAGAAGGCTTCCTGATAGTCCAGAATGAGCTACAATGTAAAGGAGATGTTGTTTTCTTCGTATTTTCTGTTCCTTGCTGTAAACAGTCTTTGGAGGCAGGAAGCAAGTCGTCCTTTTCCCCCCCATCTCTGGCTCTGATTGTGACTCTTTAAGTCTTTGATTGTGAGAGGGACACATATCTGTGTTTCGCCACAACACTAGTCCATCCGATAGTCACACATTTTTGTTCTTTGCCCGTCTCCGTCGTCGCGTCTGTTGAAGCTATCCAGTCTTGAAATGAATAAGGTGAGAGCCACTTCTAGAAGCTTTGAGTGAAAGCAGGGTTGAACCGATGCATGGAGAAGTCGAGCCACAATGGTCTTAATCATTCAAACACCCCTCCATCACCAAAGCTTGGAGTGTGATGAAAAGACATGAAGAAAAAGGACCTTGTGTCGTACCAACAGCTTTGAAGTTGCTTCACAGAAAAAAAAAAGGTGATGAAGCAAAGGGAGGGATTTAAAGAGGGAGTCTTCAAAGAAAGGAAGGGGGAAAAAAGTGACAAAACAGTACCGGACTGTCTTCATGTCTGCAGGGTTTTTGGTGCAACCCCTCTTTTTCTCCAGTACAACTGGAAAAACATACAAACAAAAGCATCTTTTTCTTTACATAAACATAAAAAATAACAACAAAAAACAAAAAATAAACAGTGATCAGACAAGCGTCCAGTTCCTGCGGCAGCCCTTTTTTCATGGGCTTCTGTAACTTTAGGAACATCCATCCATCCAACCATCCATCCATCTTGTAACACTGTAAACTACATTCCTTTGCAGTGCTATAGCTATGCTGCGTCTTCTCACACCATAACAACAACAAAAAAATCATGGTGAAAGGATGACACACATGCGCACACACAGATACACACACTTTAAAATAAAAAGGCAAACAACAAAGTTCACATCCCCACCCACTCTGTTTTTTTCAAGTCTGCCCCTTTGTTTCGCTTATCATCTCTCTCTTCTCCTTTTGTTTGACTTCATCTCTTATGATGAAGATGACGTGGAAGTGGCACTGGACTTTTTTTGGTTGATTAAGTCCAAGTAGAGTTCTGAGCGCAGGAAGCGAGGGTATGAGTCCTTCTCCATCAGCCCGTATATCCGCCTCTGCGCTAGGTCGAAGCAGGAGCGGGTCACATTCTGTAGGTTGTCCTTAGTGTGATCTCTAGTGTACGAGTCCAGGTTCACCTGCAGAGGACAGAAAAAAGAGGCAAGTGTGAGAAAAAGACTGGAAAACAAATGTCTTCTTTGCTCTCGTGAGACTAATACACGAGCTGCTCTGACTCACCTCTTTACAAGACTGGATGGCGATGTATTCGGCAAAGATTTTCTTGGCTTTTGAGGCCATCTTGGACTGTGACTTGATCTTTTTGTATTCCTCGCATGCTAGCCAGAATTCCAGATTCTCCTCGCTAAACTCTGTGCGCAGGAAAGCTCTGAAGGCTGCCAGACCATCTGAGGGAGAACAGAGAGGAGGAAAAGAATAAACAAAGAGCAGAGTTGACTCAAGCGCCATGGCAACCCAACAGTCGAAGCCCTCCTTGGAGTTTTGGTTCCTAAAATAGCTCTCTGACTGCATTTCGAGTCATGTGGTTGTAATAAACTACGGCATTAAGGAAAAAAAAATACCTCAACACAACACCGCTTATCAAAGTCCAAAACTAAGTGGCATCCCCCCTCTGAGTGTTAAATCCTTAATATTCAGCGTAACGGCTGTGCTGTCCCAGGGTCCGCAGGGGGAACAAAGACAAGGCTGTTGCTATGTGGGGGGAAATCAGTCTAACTTTGGAAGTTTTGGGCTTTTTAAGGTTCAGTCCAGTTAATGGTTTGAGGAAAAGGGCATCCAGGAGAAAGAATAGCAGGAAGCTGTGTCCACCCACAGCTCCTGTCTGCACCTTTCCGTTCCCATGAATCACCCACGCTGATAAGCTGAGCCAACTCAGGCCGTCATCTCTTACCTCACTCTGGTAAGCAGGAGTGAGGCAAGAGGTGCAGGAGAGGAAATGAGATGAGGGAGAAGGAAGGGGCCCACAAGGCTGCATGTGAAACAGATGTGTTGGCAAAGTAAAAGGACTCTAATCTGAGAAAAATAATTAGAGGCAAACTAATTGCAAAATTAGCATTTATTTCTGTTTTACTTTGTCTTGTACAACATGGACTTTGTCCCTTTGGGATTAGAGAAAAGAGCTGCAACCTGCTAATTCACATAAGCAGTGTGTGTGTGTGTGTGGATGTGTGTGGATGTGTAATCCAAATATCTACACAAGCATATTTATTTGTGCTCACAGCCTTCCCTGACCACCTCAAACCGGACTCATGCAAATGCAAATTGCAACGAGTAAAACAGAGCAGAAAAAAAAGAAATAAAAAAGGAACTTACATTTGTGTCCCAGCAGTTTGTCAAGTGAGTCCCCCCATTTCAGTGCTTCCTCGGGGGTGGGCCTGCAGATAAAAGCAGAGCGGTTCTTTAACAAGCCCATTTCAGCCAGGTTTCTCATAGTGTGACCCATCCGCAGAACTTAATCAATGCTGAGTGGTTGAGAGGAGATGCCAACGTGATCGTTCTCCTCTGCTGCTCCCCTTCCACTCTAGTCTGACACATTCAGCTCTGTCTTATGAATGGTTGCAATACTGTGAGCCATGAGCCTATCTGCCTCACTGTGGTGGGGGTTGGCTTTTTATCAGGAGGAGGTAGGGGGAGGAGCTTAAACCTTCCAATCAGGGCTTGTTGTTGGGTTTTAGAGACTTCCCACCACCGAATGCCTGTCTGCCCCCTGCTGCCTCACATTCTTACAGTGAATACCTCTTCACACTGACAATGTTACCCTCACTAGAATCCACATGTTGGCCTCAATCTGACTAAATATATATTGTTTCGATCGATGCCAACAAATGTCAGGTCTCTTCCAGGTTTTATGGCCCCTTTACGTATTCAGTTAAAACATAAGGATACCTTTTGTTTAAGAAGATTAACCTGTTTACATATCTTTGTAAAGAAAACAAAATTTGGAAATAATGTTTAACCTAATTTGCTCATTGGATATTTACTCTGACTTTATTTTATCTGAGCAGATGGGCATTGACAAACTATGTGAAAAATAACAACTCATAAAAGACACTGCAATCACAATTGTCAGACATTAGTGTTTCGTCTGTATGTTACATTAAAAAAAAGAATCTTATTATGGTCAAATAAAAATTCTCTGTATCCCAACATTCTCTTTTCGCACATTTTCTCATTCCTTTTATGAATGCCTCGCTACAGGCACACTCCCGTCTCTCCAACTGCCCACATGTCTGCCTTTCAACACTGGGTCATCACCAGTTGTGGCATAATCCACAAAACAGTCTCGCACTCACGCCCACATGCCATCAGGAAGTGGCCACTTACTTGACTGACTTCATGGATTTGTCTAACTTGCCGGCTGCGTTGCTTCCTGGGGACTCATTCCTCCTCCGCAGGAAAGCCAGCCGATTCTTCATGTCTTTGGCCCTGGGTGAAAGAAAGAAAGGAAAGCAGAAAAAAAAGGAGCGGAAGGAGATGAGGATTATAGGAGAAGAATATGGGAAGGAAGAGGGAGGAGGGAGAATGAGGTATTACAAGGGGAACAGGGATGAAAGGGGTGATATAGGAAGTAGAAAAGCAGGAAAAATAAGTAAAGAAGGAGGATTTAAAAAAAGAGACAGAGAGAGAGTGTGTTAAGTCCTCAAGTCCACAGTCCATAACTGAAACAATCCAAGGCACGGAATCACCAGTTAAACTCCTCCACGCTTTAAATCCATATAAAATCAAACCAAAAATCACCACGAAAACAGAAATGTTGTGTACATTCTAATCTTCAGCCAGTTATGTTGATGGGACGGAATTTTCCAAAATGTGAATCTCCTCGTCCTCGCTTCTTGTCAGCGTTTCTCCTGTCAATCTATATATCTGGCACTCAAGAAGTGTCCCTGTCAGGTTCCACGGCAGGGACTAAGCAAATGTGGCAGAGAAGGAAGAGAGAGACTCAGTCCTCTCTCCTCTGTTTCATCACGCCATTCTCCATGTGCCTACAGGGGTTGCTGTGAGGGAGCTGACCCAGGGCAAAGGGAACAGGGCACGCTGACATCCCCTCTCCTCTGTGGCTTCCACCGCAGAATCGCCATCCTCCTGACCACCCACCTCACCCTCATCACCTTTTCCCCAGCCGCCCCACAAGCGGAGACATCCTGCTTCACAAACGTCACGTAGAGACCACGCACCAGCCCGTGGCACCCCTGAGGTCCGACAGGATTCTGCGCATTCCCATAATCCCATGGTACGTGTCCTGGCTTTTCCCGACCTGAAACACGTGACGCCTCGTTGGGATGTGACCTCACGCAACACCCATTTCCTGAGTCCCTGCTTTTGATTTCCACTGTGGATTGACTGGCCCGCTAATAATGCCGCGCGGCGTTGTGTGCTGGCTGGGCCTAATCACTGCAAGCTGTCCCTCCCCACAAGCCCCGGGAGAGCATGTACACCCCAAATTAAGAAACAGAGCTCCCATTTATAGACACGTATCAGTTAAACGTGCACACACAGGAGAATGGAGCGGCAGATTACCAGGAATACTGTACATGAATCAACATGGGCAGAGATGTCCCCCCCACCACCACCACCAACACACGACAATTTTAAAGAGCCCCTCTGCACCTGTGCCAACTCAAGTCTGCCTCAGTGGTGCTTTCATGCCAGTCACAGCTGTTGGAAAACTCCACCACTGAGTTGAGGAGTGTATGGAGGGAAAACAGGGGGAGAAAATGTATGCGTGCCTAACAGTGAGGTGGCTTCACACCAGAGAGAGAACACAGTCAGATGTTGAGGTGAGTTTTTCCAACCTCTGAAGGGGCAGGAAAATACAGAAACAAGCCCGTACACAAGACTTGACATGAGCAAATGAGTTGCTGCTGGGAGAAACCAAAGAGCTCCTTTCATGTCAGAATGAGTGCCACTTTTTATCTAGACGGATTTGGGTGTGTTTGGGTTGAGAATTAAGGGGGAGCTAGTGTGCAATATGCTCCGTTCCCTCTCGACAAATTCACCAGAATGTTGACGCTGAAGCTGTTCCTTAAAACGTATGTACTAAATGAACAGAATATGCCATATAGAAAAGCCATTTTCTTCTCTGCCAAGGCAACAGAAGAAATGGAAATCTCTTCATGGAATATCTTAACCTCCACACACCGTCAGATGACTCATCCATTGATTGAAATAACACAAGTACCCTGCATGAAACAGCTCTGATGCTTCAATGCGGAGCAGAAATGTAGGCTTCTAGTTCAGAGACACAGCAGGGTGCTCCAGCGCAATATTCTCCTGAATAGCTCACACCAGCCTAAAGGGTATAAACATTGTTATAAAAACTCTCGTGCTGTTAAACAAACTCATGACACCAGAAAAAGGATTTATTGGACAATTCTATTTTTAGCCTGCACTTGAAGCATGGGCGGCTGTTTTAACTACAACAGAGAGTCTGACTTGCCAAAACATGTGAGTAAAGAAGAAACTGGAAAGTATGCCCCTGACCTGACAAAAGATGCTTTATTATTCATGTCTGGTTTTATACAAGCTGTGTCCATGTGACAATGATGTCATTTTAACAGAAGCTTAAAGGAAAATGTATGTTTCACTTCTGCCACCATGTGGTTGTGATTGAATACTGCAAACCCAAGCGCCTTACATCATCCTATAAGTTAAGTTTTCCATCTATTTTTAGACAGCATGTAGAGAGTATTCATGTAAACAACTGCAACAGAAGACCCCACCTATCAATGAATATATGCTCGACGAAAGTTATTTTTCTGTTTGTGTTGCTTAGTGATTTATCTTTTATTAAACACCAGTTCCAACTTCAAGAGGGGTCCCACAGTTCTGCATCAGGGAGTGGGCAAACACACTAAACTGTAAGCATCATGCAAGGGACTTTGTACCTCACAAATGCTGGTTAAAGAGCTATGAAAATCATAATTGTAACTACCTGCAACTTTTCTGTAACAAAGCACTGGAGTCTCTTTGTGAATTATCCCCTGAACTATTAGTTTTTCTTTATTGTTCCTTGTACTAGTTACCAAAATTAACGAAATTGAATTCCATCTAAGGAGCCCATCTCATAGGGAACTTTTATTACTATCTTAAGTAGGTTGGGAATGTGTAGGTCTGATTAGATTAAATCAATTTAAGAGGACTAATATTCGCTCTCTATTGTAGAGTTTTGATTATAAAAAAGATTATGAAGACAGAGTTAAAATCATGAATATAAAAATTACTGAACTTTTTCCAAAGCTCATAGTGTTTTTAGGAATTTTCTTGACTGTAACCAATCCACTGAGCCTTCAATAAAGGTTTAGTTTGGCTTCACAGTTGTGGAGCAGAATGTGAGAATCTTTTTTGAATTATAGCTAAAAAAAACAGCCGAGGGCTGAACAGATATAGAACAGCACAATGTGGGAATGCTCCCTAGTCACATGCAACACTTGTCAGGCCAAAAAAGTCTTCTATTTTTGACATTTAGAAAAAAACTAAATGAAATTCAGGTGTAACTTCTCGGTTAAGATTTAGTGCAGAACTCTCTTTCCTCCTGCTCTGATGCATCTTCTCACATTCTCTCACGCTGAGTACTCCTACACTTCACCTGATCCGCGAAGAGTTTAACACATGCTCTGTCAAAGATTAGCAAATTAAGATGATCTTTGATCAAGAATAAGCAGCCGAGCATTACTGCTCCACTGCTCCAGAAGCTAAAAGCAACATGTCAGTTAGCAGAAAAGGCATAAGTGGCTGCACACCTGACTGTCTGCTTGTGTCCATACAAGAAAGAACACTCTATGAGGTCTTTCACTCTGCAATTATCTGCAGCTTTCTATGCTCTTTATTCCCTCTTTGCCTGGCTCACATTAGTTGCACTAATAGTACCCCTTTGGCTATTCCTGGTGTTCTGAAAAGTAGGCCGCACTCTAAGGGAAAGGTGGCGCATGGGGAGAGCTGCAGACAGACATAATGCAGATCACACAGAACCATGCATGCGCAAGGAAACCTCAGTGCCAAACTTCATCCCACTTATCTATTCACTACTGGACGCTTTGTCTCAAAACAAAAGAGATCTCGTACACAGCCAAGCAAACCAAAGTGAGCAGCATTCAGGCCTGTTGTCAGTCCTACTGCCACTCTATTGACAGAAGGCCGTGTGCCTGCGAAGGGAATACAGGACACGACACACAAACAGCAGTGGCCTAGCATGTGAGCCTGTTTGCCTATTTGTGTTTGAGAGCAGGGTCAAGCTCGGCGTTACAGTGTCTGTAACACTTTAAATAAACTATTTAGGCTTGGCCTAAAATGACACAGGAACACATTGAAAGCCCATGCGACATTTTCCTCACAGACTAAACAGAACGAAGGGGTGATGTTTCCAGAGCATAAAACGCAAACATTCTAACTACATGATATCCAACAGAAAGGAAAGCCTTGATAGGGCTTCATTATCAAGAGAGTCGCTGTGGAATATTCCTAGAAGAAAGATGGAAAAGGGAATTGTCCTCAATTTTGCCCATAAATATAACACCATCCTGTCCACATTCTCTGTCAATCAAAACTAAAAAAAGGACCTCTATTTCTGTGGCAAACTCACCTTCCTAGCCAGAAAGACCGCATGAGCAATTCTATTCTTGATTTCCAGGCTGTGTATTATAAGAAAAAGGGGCAGCCTAAAGTTAGAAGTTAAAGCGCCTTCCTCCAAAATAGTTTCCGCACCTCGCCCTCGTGGGGATCCTGCTCCCTCACTGCGACTGTCAAATGAGATCCAAGCAGGGGTCAGATAGCCTCTCAACACACTGACAGTAATGATTCCCGCGAGGCGTGAAATAATCCCCTCAAACCCCACCTTCATTCAAACGGCTGATGAAGCCACTCACGTATGAATTAAGTGCTTTGCTCTTACCTTTCCAGGTATTTCTCTGGGAAATCAAACACAGAGTGAAACATGGGTGCCCGCATGAATGAAGCATGTGCTGCATGCAAGTGTGTGTCCGGAGCGGCGCTGGTTCAGGACCCGGGGGTTTATTTGGCAATCACATTCCTCTAGCCCCCGAGAGGCTCTGGTGGAGCTTTTTATAGACCAAGGGGTCTGGAGGAGGCGGACCCTTGGTCTACCCAATCCACATGCATTGTTCAGAGGATGGATCCCTTCTATTGGGATGCTAAAGGTTTTAGTTGACCTAAAATTCCTCCTTTTACCAACACTTGCAACGATCTGAAAAGTTTCTGTATGTGCAGTGTTTGTTAACATGGCCTATGCTTGGTGTAAGTCGTGACTGAAAGCTGCAAGTGGGCAGAAAAAAATGTCTTTCAGAATGATATAACTTACAGAATTTATAAGTGAATTTAGAAATGTGTTATTTCCCACTGGTGAGGTTCAGGCTCCCTTGTATTAGAGCTAGTTTGTACCACCACAGAACTCCTATAAAAATGTTATTTTGACTATTCATGTACAATAAAGGTTTCACTTGTAGTTTTCTGTGACTGAAACCTAACACACAAGAACACACAAAAACTGAAATGATGTGATTAAGAAATAGGGGGTGAATCTCTTGCAAAAAACAAGGGGATTTAAACATTTCTTAAAACATTAGAAAATCTGGCTTTGGGAATGTGAGACTGATTTTACACTTTTAAATCTATATGGTTGTTTGGGGTTTTTTCATCAGAACTGGACCTTTATGTTATTCATGCTATCTCAACAATGATTTCACCATAGAGTCAGTGCAATATAATTAGCATTTAACTTTGCCAACTTTTATACAAAAAAACCTTGGAAGAATAAATCAGTTTATCTAACAGCACTATAGAGAACATGTGTGTGTGAAGCGTGCTTGTAAATTTACACTGTGCAGATAAGTGCACGTGTGTGCGTAGCTGCAGCTACGTATACATGTAGACTTATTATAGGAACTTTGCTTAGACACTTAATTATAAGAATTGGGTTATTTGTTGCTGAGCACCTGGCCTGGCTTTAAAAAAATGATAATGGGAGATTGTTGATGCAGGAATCACGAGACAATCTCAGGAAAACAACTGTGTTAGAAACCTGAGCACAGAAAGTAACGTGCATATGGATGTGGAGAATAGCAGAATGGGAAAATCCAACAAGGTGCACAAAGCAAGGGGAAACATAGCGACTATGTGAAAAAGTGCACAGGATGAAGAGGTCTAAACTAAATAACAAAAGAGTATATAAATACTTTTTCACTTACAGGACTGAGCTAAAACCTTAGGATCAACTTTACCTCCAACAGTTTGCTGCTGGTTTGTCGCCGGCTGCATAAACAACACTGACAAGCAAAGACATGGACTCCACAAGACCTCTAAGGGTGCCCTGTGGTATCTAGCACCAAGATGTCAGCAGCAGATGCTTACGGTCCAGCCTGCTGTCATTTGGAGCTATTGCACGTCAAACTTCTTCTAGAAAAAATCCATCGGATGAGTTCCTGTTTAAAAGCTAGCCATGCCAGTTAAATGACTTTTTCCTTTTTGTTAACAGTTTTCAATAGATTTCTTATGAGAACAAAAATGAATAAGGACACAAACTCTGATCTGAATTTTTTAAGGAGACTTGAATTGCACATCTGTAAATGTGCAATTCTAGTCTAATTTGCAATAGCGAATTGCACATAAGCACACAAGGAGCAAAGTATGAAGGTAAAGAAGACGAATGGACATCTGTAGTGATACTACTGGTACCCTGAAACCCAGAAAGTCATTTGGGCAGAAGTCAGGGAGTACATTCTTAAGGCTATAAATAGCTATGTTTCAGCATGATTTCACCATGTTAGATATTTTTCTATGCAGAGATGTCCATCTCCTGGTTCCCATGGCTTTTTCTATACGTTACATATCAGTCTGGTACATCTGGAAGAAATAATTTCATTTCCTTCATGCTGAGCTGGAAAGCCTGAGATTTTTAGCACCAACATATTGAATTTGTATTCCTCAGAGTAACACAGAAAGATATTGTGTTGAGACCATGTTTATTTGTGTGACTGGCTATGAATGAGCACATATTGCCTCTGCTACTTGTTTATAGAACGGCATAATGAAAAATGCCAAGAAACTGGGGTAATATACTCAGCAGTAAAACAAGTGAAATAAGTGACAGCAGGCTCAAGGCATTGAGAATTTAATGGAAACAAGGCTCAACGTGTTAAGATGAGCAGTTTCCTGGTTGCCCCGACAGCTTGGTGAATCATCCTCAGTATACTGGTTCATGGTGACAGGCAGAAGTATCATCAATGACAGAAAGGCACTTTATGAACAAAAAAAAAGACTGAATGTTGGTCTCTTTCATGCAGACCATTCAAACATAAGGTCACCGTACCCCTGAAGGCTCATTTTATCGACCACACAATCAACATAAAACAATGAGAAAAAATGCAGACTGCTGCATGATGAGAAATAAGCACACAGCCGACCAAACTCACTAATCAATGCATCCCCTTAATATTTCAGATAAAAGTAGTTGATCTAAAGAGTGAGTCTACATATAATTCTGCTATCTTTAGATCTCTGCCCCATCTCACATCTGCCAAACGTTGCAGCAACAGAACAAACAAGAATACTGGAAAAATCAAATATTCTATTTCCCTTTTTAAGAGTGATGCTAAATGGACAAGTTTAGAACCAGCAGATCATAAGAGTGTCAAGAGTATAGGGGTATAAAAATCTAAAATTGCATCTGATCTCTTTCCTCATAAAATAACAGAAAGCAAGTGTGTGCTTGTGGATCATCCCTTATGACAACAAACTCACGGGACATGCTGCCATGCTGATCATGACTGCAGCACATTTTCTTCTGTTACAATGTACAACAATGTAATAAATATGATACTTTAAACTAATTCAAAAGTAAATAAAGAGCATATCTGCATCACTAATATCAATTCTGCAAATTTGTAATGCCCAATTAAACAAATAAAGTTTAGAGAAACCTGCATGCAGCAGCTGAGTGAATGACAACTTACTCTCAACTCAACTGCAAAAAGAAAAAGCTGTGGAATTTTAATCGCTTAATCTCCTGTCTAATGACACGGCACAAAGAGCGGTCTGGGCCAGAGCGCAGGCCCACATGCAGCCTCTGTTTTCACTTCACTCAGTGCAAACAAAAAGAAGGTGTTTTCACCTTAATGGGGACAAGAGTGAACAGCTGATGAATCACTGAGGTGTTGAAGCACAAATCAGCTACAAATGGGGACACGTGTACCTTACCCCTCTGAGAGCAGCACACCCAGTATTCACCACTTCATTAAGAAGATAGAGACCAGTATTACCTGATTAGCTGTTAACTTTCACCAGTAACACCCTCCTGCACCGGTGGGTCCGTGAACACGGGTATTGGCCGTACACATCAGTTAACACCCACAAATTGCAACAAATCACATCATTCCACATCCATTCAGACACAAGAAACAGATTTTCAAACATGTGAAACTTGCAGTATTTCACTACTCTAAGATCGCTTAATAGTGTGTTTCATGCAAATTAGGATTTAATCATATATTATATTACTTATGTTATCATATCGATAATTTTATTACTTACAGGTTCTTGGATTTCTTCTTCTTTGTTCCGTCAGGGCTGACCTCGCAGCTACAGGGGGATCCAGCGCTAAGCTGAGGGCAGAGGAAGGAGAGGACACACTGCATCATTCAGCCTCCACAATGAAACGGGGCCCTGAAGGCTCCTGCAATATTTCAGTTAGCTCCTACAGGCAACCTGGCTGGCTTTTTTAGCAAGCTAATCCTTGGTATTGTCCACTTGGGAAAGATTGAAAGAAGCCCAGCATGTAACACATACAGCAATCCACCAGAATCATTAATCCACAGCAGCAGTCCACATTGTAAAGTCCACAAAGCTCTCTGAGGTGTGTGTCCGTAGCTTGCTGAATAAAACTGAGTGCAAACACTGCGGGCGGCGTTTGTCGATGGTGTAAAACGAAGTCAAGAAAATCTGTGAGAATGAAAGCGGGTGAAAGACTACAGCTGTTGTTTCTGTTCGCCTCCAGCTGTGCCCCTGGCTTAAAGTGTTGAGCCAAGACCCCCGGTTTCACATTACACTTTCTGCCAACCCACCATTTTGATTGGTCAAGTGGAAAAGGGAAGTTGCTTGAGGGTGGTGAAGGGGTCAATCTCCCCTAATCTGATGGCCTGAAGCTGGCTCATTGTATGTGTATGTGTGTGTGAGGCTCTAAATAATGAGCTATTGTATTACCGGAACATGCAGTTAAATCTGAGTTAGATACTGGCCACAGCTGGTAACACATGGTTTGTGTTTTCTGCCACTGTGGGACCCAACTTGAGTTTCAACATAGAGGATGAGGATGTTGATTGTTTTTTTCATATTATGTATTGTTTGGAGGTTAGAGTGATACTGTTCACCGAAACACTGACCCTCTCCAAGTTTGCTGTGGGTGAACCACAGCTTGATTTTTTTCCAGAAGTGCTACAAAAAGCCAAGAATATTTTTTACTGTTTATTTTAACATAAAGTGCTTCACATACTCTTGAGAATAGAGAAACTGATTTTAAGTGGCATGATTACCATTTTCTGAGCAGACAAAAATATTTCTAAATAGCTTTCCTAAAATATACTTTTTCCTTCTGGGATAGATTAATAACTTTTTTTTCATTCTGTTCGGCTAACTTTCAAAAATGTTACAGCCGGTTTAAAATCCTCATAGTAAAAGATCAGAGGCCGAAACTGCATCTGACTAATGAGATTCTTCAACATTGTCATAAAACAAAGGCGCTAATGTGTGTAACTCTTTTGAATGATTGACTCAGTGTGTGTAGAGAGAGACAGGTCTTTCTTATATCTATGTTGTACTTGTGGGGCTATTACTGCATTTAAACAATAATGCTGAGCCATATAAATGTACCTTTTTTAATCTCCTCAGGTTTGTGTTAACAGGGCTACACAGAAACTGTTCAAGATGGAGTTGTGTAT